CTTGTGAAATTCCAGGATATTGTGGTCACAGTCTAATAATTATTTATTTAAACAAATTTGATAGTGTATTTCCATTAAAGTTCTGGATAAAAGTTGCTAAAAAAAATGCTCTGGGCTAGTATGATGGATCTGATTCACTTGGTATTATGATTCAGGAGTCAACAGTGTACAGTTCACTTGTAAAGTTCAAATTCATGACCTGTGGTGGTGGTAGTAGGGAGAATGTTAATAGCTTGTGAAAATCATTGTTTGAATTCAGTAACCCATATTCCTTAATTCAGGATTTCTAGATCACTACTACTTTTGCTTAGGATGATTACTGTTTTGTAATCTTGCTCAGTAACTACCGTTTTCAGAATGACTTTCTTTTAAAACAGGGGTTTTTTTGGTGCATCTCTTCCGACTTCTTTATGCCAAATAAAATTTAATTCAAGCCCCAGTGTTCTAGTTTTTAAAACTGATGCTCAGTTTCAGTAGTCTAATTTTGGCAAAAAGCAAGTGTTTACACCTATATTGTAAACTTTCTCTTAAAAAACAGGTTTATAACTAAAACCCAAGCAAAACCTTTGTAGTTTTAGCAAGCACATGGACTTCAGGGAGATTGCATGCTAACTACCTATATTGTTCTGTCGTCTTCTCTCTGCTACCTCCACCAATCCAATATGGGGAGATGCAGTACAGGATTTCTGTGGGCTTGTGGATAGAACACAATGCTGGGGGCTCATTCTGATTCCTGTTCTTGGCTTGGCCTCCAAGTTTCTTGAATATAATTACTTCCTCTTCATGCTGGGTCCCCATCTGAGAAATGAGTTTATCTTACGGGTTTATTGTTTAATTCAATCATTTTTAGCAGTTGTCTTAGTTCCATCAGTTGAAAGGTGTTCCGGAAGTAGAGTGGGTTTGTTACCTTAAATCTGAAAAAGTTTGCTCCATTATTGCAGTGTAACAATGATTATGACAACTCCATTTTTTGTATCAGAATGCATGGGCCTTAGTGGATGATGATTCTACCTTTGTTATACTTGTGCAGTCCTTTTTCACTTCAGTTGTATGGGTGAAATTAGAACAGAATTTCTCCAAAAATGTAATTACCATTTTGTTTAATGTAGAACTTTTTTGTGGAATGTTAAAGTTAAACCTCGTTGTAAGGTTGTTCTCTTACAAGTAGTTTATTTTCTTAAAAGTGAAAACTGTGTTTTGCTGCTAGTATCACGAAATTGTGGCCTAACCAAAGTGATTTGTGCTAAATTGCGCAACAAGGGCGGGTCCAGACAAGTGTGCACGTGAGAGATGCAGCGCTGCATTGCAGCACGGGAGTTTTTTTGATACTGGGAGATCCCAGTGTCAAAAAACCCATGCCTGAAAAAGGATGATGCACATGGTGGTAGTCTGCCACCCAAAACCAGAGCCTTGCCAGCCTGAGCCACACTCTAGCTGCTGGCCAGGTTTCCTGCTGCCGGATTGCCACCGCTGGAGGCCCCGAGGACCCCAGGTAAGGCTGCTGGGCCAGGTGCTGGCCCCAGTCTCTCCTACCCCACCCAGGGCAATTTGCTGCATGCCAGAGTGCAACTACATGGGCATTCCCTGGGGAGAGGTAGCAGTGGCACATATTGTGCCACTGCTGTTTGTCCCTGGGGAAAAGCATGTGTGTGCTTGTTTGGACATACCCCTAATGTTTTAAGGTAGTGTTTATGTGTACTATTAATCTTCACATAGAGCTTGAAAAAAATAAGCAGGGGCACTGTTCAGTAAATAGATAGTAATATTAATAATTTGTGTGTCCATGTGAAACTCCATACTTAACAGCATACACTTCACCTGTTGTCATATCTATTACACTTTCAGTGGTTACCTCCTAGTTCTGTTCCTTTAGGCTTGCCCATATTTAAGGATTTGCAGACAGCAATAAAAAGCCTGTAGCAAAATCTTTACCTTAGTAGCTATACTTATTTTTTCGATTATGTCTGGGGAGATCCGTGTATATCAGAAGGAAGAATTTAGCCCTTGGATTTTTAATATCACTCTTCCCAGTATACACTGCTTTTTCTCTCTTAAAGTAGTTCTGATATAGAGCTCTCTAAAAATGATAATAGTGTGCACCATTGATTTTTAAAAAAATGTAGTCGAAAAGCTGTTTAAAAGGTTTTAACAGAATGATGCTGCTTTCTTCAGCTGGAAGTAATACCAGTTGACGCATCCTCCTCCTGTAATTGATTTGTGAAGCAGTGGTATATCCATTATACCTAAGGTTCTGGGATATACAAAGAGGTTTGATGATAAAAGTGAAGCTGGATGAGTTATTAGAACAACAACAAAAAAGCTCGTCTAATGATCCTGTTTTCATAGCATTAGGTATAATTTTCAGGAGAAGTGGCAGGTGTTCCTTATGGCTGCCTGGAATTCAAACTTTCGTACCGATGGCATTGCTGAACTTTTTGCTGGTTCTTGACTGGTTTAAAGGATTGTTAAAACCTAGCACTATTGCTGTTCAGCTCCTTTACACAGTCAACATAAGGCAGTACAGAGTGTGGCACTACATAGTTACAGTGTACATACATAATGTATATTTATATTAAGAATTCAGTTGCTAAACTATCCAGTTACTAAGAATCTGTAAGTGACCTAAATTATAAGTCTTAGTACAGTATAAACTTGAGGCTGCACTGTATTAGCTGGTTAAAGCAAACATCTGTATGGGAGCTTATCCCTCATATAGGGTGTTTGGGGTACATATTCATGTACCTCTTTTAATGAGACTAAAATCTAACAGTGCTCAACAATACCAGGAGTGTAGCAAATGTAGAGTACATGTGAAAAATGGACCAAAATTTATAACTTATATTCATTCGCAGTGTATGCTACCCAATTGATGTAGACGGATGCATTAGTTTAGTTGGTCACATGAGACCAAGCAGATTATTGATTGCAAAGCACATTAAGACAAAACACTTTTTTTTGGTCTTATTCTGGAATCGTGGGGTATCCATTTTCCATTTTCACCCTCCTGTCAAAGTTGTCATGTTTCATAAAATCCTGGCTTCTTACTATAAATTGTGTCCTGTCCGTGTCTCTACCCACATCTTTTCTGCTACATATCTGCAATCAAAAATACATGCACATGGCTTATAGTTCAGGCCTAATGAATTGGGGGGGTAATACAGAATTTGAACATGAAATTAGTCTGATTTCATTTACTATAAATTAGTGTCAATAGTTGTAAATTAACAAATTTTATTCAGTGGCCTGTAATAAGGAGGATACGGAGAACCTTGTCCATAGCTTGGAGTGAATTGTGGGTAGCAGATTTCAAACAGAATTTTTATGACCTCATTTCTGGTTGTACCACCTGTCTTTAAAATGATCCATCCTTGAAGAGAGGCCAGCCTTAAATGTGTTTGGAACACATACATTTTCCTTTTTATATAGCTGAATAAAATTGTTTATGCGTAAGTAATTGCCACTTAGTTTTCCAAATAACACATGGTACAATAACTTAAAATCCGCAGCAGCAATCTATTAAAATACATCTCAGTTAAAGCTAATATTTCATGACTGAAATACCATTTTAGGTTATGTCATGTTATGCTAACTGTTACTATACAAGTTCTCCTAACTAAATTACATAGTACCTAATAACATTTTGACCCTCAGGTATTAATTTCAGACATAATTTTACCCCCTTTTGTAGAAAACTTATAGATTACAACTTTAAAAAAAATGGAATATATCTTGCATTCAGTATTCTACATTTTTCTACAACAGAACATGTATGTACCACATTCTAAAACAATGAATCCCATATTGAGGTGTCCTAGCTATCTTTGGTATCCTTTATTTTGGGTTCTTGACCCATGTTTGGAGTCTGACAGATTGAGATGGGTTTGATTTGAAAATTGAAGAGACTGCTTACTGTCAGTACGCTACTACAGAGGCTCCTTCTGCTGAAGACTCTGTGAAAGTTGGGAATGTTCAGTTAGTTGAGTATTTACTTGTATTTTTTTCTTTATCTTAGTTACTCAGCTTGGAAGTTCTTATGATGAAGAATAGATGAACTTGTCAGGTTTCTTATAGATAACGGTTTCTTATAGATAACCTCTACTCCCTAACTTAGAGCAGACAGTTCTAAAATATTTAAATGATCTGGCAATTAACTTAAAGAATTCTGCTGATATTTTTCCCCCTTTGTGTTTTTAAATATTGAGTATATTTAAATCTTTCCACATGAATGTAATTAAAATAATAAATTCTGGAGAATACTGCTACCATGGAAATCACACTTGATAAAATAGTCTTGGGGAGATATCAGGCTTTTACTTGTGATAAAATTGACTTGGGAAGGCATAATAAGCTTGTTTAAACTCCATTTATAGTCTTTCAAATTAATGTGTTAATATGTTAACTTGGTCTACATCTTATGCCACAGGTCTCAGAGTGAATTAATTGAAACTTCTACAGCTTGGCCACTGAAGCTTATTCTTATATATGCACGCTTTCTGTTTAATCTGAAATTTCTAGTAGTACCATATAGCCAAATTTCAACATCTTCCCAGATTTTTTTCCCCAGAGCATGGTTATTAATGCTAATTATTCCCACTTAATGAACGCATAACTTTAGTTCATTTTATTCCTGACACACAGTGATAATTACTCTGAGCTATTACTTGTATGTACAGTTAAAGCCTGTTAATTTTTTTTAAAGTATGCCTCTCTTCAAAACCCACCTTTAAATGGTATCCATTTGGAAAAGCATTTAATTTAACGCATCTACGTACCTTTATTTCAGCAACTCACTGGGAGCCTAGCTGTTAGACGTTATGCTCTTTGAAATGATTCATTTCCAGTTAGCTAATTTTTTAACTTAAATAATTAGTACGGGAAACATAGAAGTGATGCTTTAGGCAGTAACTCTCAACTTGTGATCAGTTAAGTGTAGATTGAGCCTTGGGCTCAGCACATAGAGACTTAAGGAAGAAATCATTTCTTCAATTTTTCCTCTGCAGTGGTGGTGACCGTGGTGGCTTCAAAAATTTTGGTGGTAAGTGCCGAGTATCAAAAATGTTTCAGTGGAAATTCTGTATAAATCTAAGAGCCACCGATACTTTGTTACTATCCAATAAACCTATTCTAGCATTTCTGTTTTGCTGAGGCTGGTGTGTTTGTGTGCTTTTAAAAATCAGTCTTAACGATAAGATGGATTTTTACTCTGTCAAACTGCATGAAAGAATTTGTGGGGACCAGTGACCTTTCCTGGCTTTTGTTTTGTTACAAATGCTGCTTAGAAAGATACTAGTGACAAAACTGGTAAACTGCTTGGTAATCTGACAACCAGCATTTGCAAGATAACACCAGCATAATATCAGTGTGGCAGCTGCTACATACTGCAAGTTAAAGAACATGTTAATATTCTACAGATGCTGAACATTTTAATCTAAATACTTTCTAAATCTCTGGTTAAAATCCTATATTTTTAGATACATTGCAAACATAGCTTGAATACTTGTTATATTAAAACAAACAAACAAAAAAAGAATTCCTTGGTTTAAATAGTCCTGTTTTTACCTTTTTTCCTTTTTTACCTGTCCTGTTCTGTAGGTCAAAGGGATTATGGACAGAAATCAGATGCTGGTAAGAAAACAAGGAATTTGGATTGCATCTTATCATAGTTCAGAATTTTTGGAATGTATGTACTCCTAAAATTCATGCCTGGAAATGTGATGTGAAATGTATTATTTCAATATGGTTTAACCCGATGGGCTCTTCTGGGAAAGATCAAGTTTGTTAATGGTATATAAGAACTTGATAAGAGTAGGGTTTTTTCCTTGTTTACGTGCCACAATGTCCAGCAAGTTGGAACAAACTTTTTCTAGTGAATGTTGGATCAGCTTGACTCTGTGTAACAGTATTAATGCTTCCCTGTAGATGCTGAAGTTCAGATAGTGTTCTTTTAAGAACGGACTCCTCATAATAAGAGAGTTCTTACACTTGAATGCATTCTTCACATTTTTTCTCCATTATTGCTGTTCACTTTTTCGCTTCGTTGAATTTGAAACTAAATTTAAATGGTGTTACTTTGTTTATAATTGCATCTTTTGAACAAGACTCCAACATTTTCCTAACAATGTTGGGACTTCCAAACTTTGTTGCATTTTTAAAAATATATCTCAACTATATTCCAACTGGAGTGTTCCAGTTAGAGGCATACTATAAAGCCTGTCTGCCAATCAATCTAGTGTGCCTTCTGTTATGCTGCTCCAAATCAAGTACTGTGCTCCTGCAGTTCTCCAGCTGATACTATTCGCTTCGACAGCAAAGATTTCTTGACTTCACAAACTAACCGGAGAGCTCCAAAAATGCGTGATCTCAAAGGCACTTGCTGGGCCTTGTGCATCTGAGTTTTTAAAATGGAGGGGATTTTCTTTGATGTGGAAGCATATCAATTTTTTTAACTGCTGTGATATGTAACAGCTGCATCTGGCTAATCCCCTCTGGCTAAGTTAGTTAAAAAAAATAACTTAATTTTTTTAATAGATACAGAGTCCGATAACTCTGATAACAACACCATCTTTGTGCAAGGACTCGGAGAGGATGTTTCAACCGATCAAGTGGCTGACTATTTCAAGCAAATAGGTATTATAAAGGTGTGTAAGGGGATACATTATTAAGAAAAGGCTTTGCCAGCATGTTAGAATAATAGATTCCCTCTGTGCTGTTACTATTCAGGGTGTTTTCTCTCTATCATTCCCCAACAGTTGGAGATCATTTTATGCTCCCAATTCACAGATGACAGCTTACTTCAAAGGAACTGTGAGCACTACCATTTTAGTAGCCCGGATCTTAGCTGTCATTTTTCTTGTTCTACTCCTAGCTCTATATTCTTTTTTCCTCCATTAAATGCACAAATGTATCCCTTCCTTTAGCAGGTCTCTCATGTTTCAGTAAGTTCAGTAGACCCAAGAATCTCTTCTACCAATAGTGTCTTAATTGCAACTGCTCTTACCATTAACTTGTTTGACTGGTCATTTCTTCATTAATTCAATACATGTTGAGGAAATAATTTATTTTTTTCTCCAGACCAACAAAAAGACTGGCAAACCTATGATAAACCTCTATACAGATAAAGATACTGGGAAATCAAAGGGAGAAGCAACAGTGTCATTTGATGATCCTCCTTCTGCTAAAGCAGCTATTGACTGGTTTAATGGTAAGATATTTTTTTTCCTGTTACACACAGGGGGAAAAACAGAGATTGCATATTAACACTTGCTCTAATTTTGATTGTTCCAGTTCTTGGAATTCTATTTCAAAGAGATTCCTGTGCACCTCTAGTGTGATAATTTAGTCATTAAGAAATAAAACATACCATTTGAATACTATAACTACATGCCAGTTGTTACTATGTGCCATTTAGTCTGAGAGTGGGTGTTGTCTGATGTTATTCAGGACAGCACAACTTCTCATGTCGAATTAACAATGGTAGCAACCAGGGGAATACAGATTTAAAAGGGGGAGAAAATACGAGAGTATTGGTATTACAGTATTCTGTTAGTGCTTAGAGGTCCACTTCACATTAAGGCCTGATTGTGCTAGGCACTTTGCATTTTAATAGTGAAAGGATAATTCCTGTGCTTCAGAACTTACTGTCTGAATAAACAAGATGGGCAAAGTGAGTTTCCTGTCAATGGCAGAGTTGGAAACTCCTGACTTCTGTTCTTGGTGCCCTGTCTGCTAGATTGTTTTGCCTCCCTAATGCTTCAAACGAAATCCTGTTAAGCAAACAGCAGTGTCTTAAGCCCTTTTGCAGTAGCTCTTTTTACCTGCATTTTGCACCACTCCCATTTTTCCCCTCAGTCTGTCTGGCTAATGTGGATACTTTAGCACTACATTGATACAAGTTGGAACATAAACTCTGGCATTGCATTATAAATAGCTGATTAGAAGTTGAAGTTATCACGCTAGTTTATTATTTCCTAAGAACTTCATAAAAGCATGTTGTTTATTATTTTAATCATGAGGCAATTAGTAAAACCAAAACAAACATCTCTTTTGCCTTGTAGTTAGTAATTATTATGTAGCTAATTGAAAGCACAGTTGAACAATTTTTAATACTGTACTGAAGCTCTACAGATGCTGAGTTTTCTGGAACTTGAACTCTTCTTCTCTCCACTAATGTGTTGCTACTAGTGATGCCCTTTTATAATAGTGTTTCAGATAATATCAATAACTATTCTAATGGCTTTGTGTTTTTAGTGGAACTTGGTGTGCACAGTTCTGGAGATCTGTGCCCAGTTCTGGAGCTGACATAATAAGCAAGAAGAAATCAAATAGCAGTTTTCAGTGTTGCCTTTTTTTGGATAACATAATGCACATTGGTTCAGTTTAAATGTTCCTGTATTATGTACCCAAGCAGTAATAGGTCCCAAGCATCCTGTGATGAACCTTAAGTTCATAAAGCCTGCTAATTGTGACTTTAGTCCCTATTCTCTGCCTGACTTCAGATTAACATAGCTAACTACTCCTCTTTAGAGAGCCAATCAAAGTAATGCTTTGAATATTACTGAAAAAACTTGCACATAAAATATGAATGATTTTGTGGAGCATACAGGTGACTATTCTTTTTCAGTGTGGTCTCCTTTTTCAGCAGTGGCCTTTTTCCACTGGTAAACAAGAGTGTGCATCCCAACATTGTAAAAGCCCTTGTCTTTGTTGCAAAGCACCTGTCACACAACCTCTGTCTTTTTGGTGGCATCCTGAAAATGTTGCCCTTGTGGTCAGTCTCATCTTCTGGGCTGCACAGAAAATGGGGCAATACAGGCCATCCAAACTATGGGATTGTCTCTGGTGCACAAGCTGATGTGTGGGTGAGGGTTGCCATGTGGAAGGAGTACCACAGACATGTCTCTGTCAGGCTCTTTGGATACAATACTTCAGTTCCTTCAGGATCTCCACATAGACCACTCTGTTTCCTGTGGCTTCCTTAAGCAAGAATCAGAAAGGAGAGTGAGCACCCTCAGTGTTCATGTCTTGCACAGGAGATAAATATTACTAGGCATTACTTTCTGACTGGCCTCATACAAAAGTGCATTTCTTTTTTTCCAAGTGGAAACCTAGGTTCAAATGTACAAGAACTTTGCTATCTGATTGGGGAACAAGATTATTTAACTTGTAAACAGTACTGGTGACAAGAATGCCAGGGAAATGCATAAGCCATCACCTTAGGCTCTTTTAATCTGAATTGCAACTAGACATCCTTGCCATCTGTGGTGGACATTAGGGCTGTGCGAAGCTTCGGTCACTGATTCGATTCGGAGGAGATTTGGCCCGATTTGGTCACGACCCCTATGTCCCTTTTGGCTGTGGCGCAAGTCAAACTGTCACCACCAAGCCTGTAGGTATGTTGGGGATTGTTTGCCCCCATATGGAGCACCTTACACGTCTGAGTGTTGAACTTCATCTGGTTCCAATCCGCCCAGCTCTCCAGCCTGTTTAGGTCTGTCTGTATCTGCAGCTTATCTGCTGGCATTACCATGCTCCCCCATAACTTGGTGTCATCTGCAAACTTGGCCTGGAGCTTTTCACCCCCACATCCAAATCATGGATAAAGATGTTGAAAAGCATCAGTCCAGGCACGGACCCCCGAGGGACACCAGTAGCTACTTCTCACCAGGATGACACAGATCTGTTCATGAGAACTCCCTGGGTCCTACCATGCAGCCAGTTTTCCACCCACTGAACTGTTGAGCAGTTAAGCCCACAATCTCCCAATATTTCCACAAGGATATCGTGGGATACTAGATCACAAAAGCCTTTTGGAAGTCTAGGTATATAATGCTGACCTTCTCTCTTGTGTACAGGTGACGAGAGACTTGTTTGTAGAAGCAGCTGAGATTGGTAAGACAAGACCTTCCCACAACAAAGCCATGCTGACTGTCATTCAGAATCTTACCCTCAATAAGCCTAGATTCTTTAATAAGTTTTTCCAGGATTTTACCTGAGATGGAGGTTAGGCTGATTGGCCTATAGTTGCCTGGGTCCTCCCTCTTCCCCTTCTTGAAAATGGGCACAATGTTGACCCTCTTCCAATCCTCGGGGATCTCCCCTGTGTGCCACAGTTTCTGAAAGAGTTGTGCCAGGGGTTCTGCAGTGACCTCAGCCAGCTCCATCAGCACTCTCTCGGGTGAAGTCCATCTGGTCCTGCTGACCTATAAATGTCTAGCTTTTCTAGTTGGTTTTGCACCAGCTCAGCATCCACAGTGGGAAGACTATAATTCTCACCATACCCCCTGTGATCCTTATCTCGCTTGTCTTTCCCCTTGGTCAGGTGAAATACTGAAGCAAAGTGGGCGTTCAGGAGTTCAGTTTTTTTTTCCTGAGGTTCCATTACCAGCTGTCCTGAGGTGTTAAACAGAGGCACCACGCTTCCATTTGTTTTTCTTCAGATCCCTACATACCTAAAGAAGGATTTCTTATTGTCCTTGACTCCCTTGGCTAATTTAAACTCAGTCACTGCCTTAGCTTTCCTAATCATTTCCTTACAAGTGCGGACCACTGTTGGGACAGTCCTCAAGAAGGACTCCGCCGTGTATACACCTCTTGTTTCATTTTCAAGAGGACCGCGATGTCCCTATTGAGCCAGGAGGGTTTGTCAGCCCTTCTGCTACCTTTCCTTTTCATGGGAATGGTTTTCTTTTGTGATTCAAGGTTTGTCCTTGAGGAACAACAGCTTGGTGCATCCCATTTGCCTTCCATCACTGGTCCCACATCGCCTCTCCTATGAATGCCCTGAGCCTGTCAAACTCAGCATTTTTGAAGCCCAGGACTTCAGTCTTGCTAGTTGATTTGTCAACCTTGCGGCAGACAGTGAACCTGATGAGCTCATGGTTGCTGTCACCCAGGCTACCCTCAATGTTCAAGCCACACACCAAATCATCTCCTTTGGCCAAGACAAAGTCTAGGAGAGCAGTTGGCCCTTGCACTTCCTTGGTAGAAGAGCTCCTCGATTTACAGTTGAGAAGCTACATGACCGATCCAACCTAGCCGAGGGTTCCTCTCAATCTATGTCTGGGTAATTGAAGTCGCCCATGACAACCAAGTCCTTTGCACACGAAGCCTCTGTCAGTTCTTGAGAGATCTCCAGATCCAGCTCCTCCCCTTGGTTCAGTGGCCTGTAGTAAATGGCCACACTTAGGTCCCTCTCACCTCGCCCCCCCCTCCCCCCCTTGAAGCTTGACCCAAAGGGTTTCAAGCTGCTTATATTTGGAGCCAACGTCAGCCTCCAGCAAGGTGTACTGCTCCTGGCATTGGTGTACAGGCAGCTGAGGCCTCCTAACTGACACCCTCGATGTCCTGAGATGCTGTGGGACAATAGTTCCGTTAGCATTTTCAAAAATATTTACCTTGGTGTCCTCCACGTGGGAGCTTTCCTGTGTGCCAGTCCCCAGGCATGCTCCACTTGGAGTTTTCCCATCCCCAGGAAAGTCAGTTAAAAGCCCTGTCTAGTAGATCAGCCATCCTGGCTGAGAACAGGGACTTACCTGTCTGTATGAGATGGATGCCATCTCGTGCCAGGAGTCCTCTTTCCCTGAAGTGTGTGCTGTGGTCGAAGAAACCAACGCCCTTGCAGTAGCACCATTGTCAGAGGTGTCTGTTTGCTTCTACACAGCCTTCCCTTTTGCGTCCGTGACCTGCAACAGGGAGCCCAAAAGAAAAAACTACTTGAGCCCCTAGTCCCTTGAGCCCAGAGCCCTGTAGTCACCCATGACTCATCTAGATTACTCCTGGCCATGTCATTCATGCCCACATGGATGAGGAGCCATGGGGTAGTAGTTGGAGGGACAGACGAGCCTGGGGATAGGCTCCTCTCTACAACGTCCCGGATGCGGGCCCCAGGAAGGCAACATACCTCTCTGGCCAAGGGGTCCATGACCCTCAGGAGAGAGTCCTCCCCGAACCTGGTGTCCCCTCCTGGGGGTGGGAGTACTTACCTCCTGAGTACTTACCACCTCCTCTGTTGTCTCTGTCAGAGTCTCCTCATGCATGATGAGGGGAGTGTACCTGTTATGCATCATCAGGGGAGGCATACCCCTAGCTCTGCATGCTCTGGATCTGGAGACTGCTGTCTTCCGGGTAGCTCTGGGAGGATCTTTGTGGCCAGTCTTCTTTGTGGCCACATTCTTCTCCACCTTCTTATTTACTTGTTCTTTTTCCTGGAGTAGGGCCCAGCAGTAACTGTCGATATAATCTTTGTGGGCCCTGATGGTGCATAGTTGATGTACCTCCTCCTCAAGCTCCTGCACTCAGCCCTCCAGAGACTCCACCAGGGAGCATACCCCACAAGTGGGGGTGCCCCCACGTGCAGTTGCCAGCAGCCGTGCCAGGCAGGCCCTGCAGTCTAGGGCCACAGGCTCTGTCTGGGTGGAGGTCTCAGTGATACCAGGATGCCTGCGGGTACGACAAGTCACCACCATGCCTGTTAAGTACTTCTGGTCCACTTCCAGGTCTCAGCATTCATGAGCCGTGCCTGGTACCTCAAGTTACATAGAAAAACCATATAAAGCCGTGTCTATGGTCAAATTGCTGATTCTCTGAATCGGAATCAAATCTTCAGATTCAACTGAGTCGAATCAGGACAGTGATCTGAACCAGTTAACTGAATTATTGTCCCCCGAATTGGGCCGAATCTGAATCCAAATCAAATACTGCCCGCTTAGCACACCCCTAGTGGACATGATATTTGAGCTAATACTTTCAGAAGTATATAAGGATTTTGCCCCATTGTCTTTTTTTTCTAGTAATTTAACAGTTCAGACTACTGTTGCCTGTTGAACTTGTTCGTTATTGAGGTCCTGTGAGCTGTGTTCACCTTTTCCTTTTATTCTAGGTAAAGAATTCCATGGCAATGTTATCAAAGTTTCTTTTGCAACCAGAAGACCTGAATTCATGCGAGGAGGTGGTGGTGGTGGCCGTCGAGGTGGTACTAAAACTTAGAAGGCCTTTTCCTTTTAAAAATTTAATGCTTTCACTTGTGATCTCTTTTAAAGAGTAGCTTCATAACAGTGACTTTTAATTACATACTGCATTATGCATACTGCATGGACTTCCGGAAGGCGTAGTAGAAAGGGGTGACTTTTAGGACAGGAGGGACTAGGGGTGGTACAAAGTATGTGCAAATTAAGTAAAACTGAATTCTGTACTTCAGTTTTTTTGGGCTATTTGCAATTTTGCACATTCCTTCTGATCTGGAGATATTGTAGTTTGAAGCTTATCTTGGCTTAAGATAAAGCACTGACTTTAAGGCTGGGCATATGGAACTGTACAACCCTGTGTTCCACTGTGGGTCTGCCTTTTGCCTTTGAATTTTAAAACACTTTGTCCAAAATCTTCAAAAGAGACTAAGCAGGTTAGGCAGCCAAGTTCCTCCTGGCTCTGAACAGGAGTTGGGTATGTAATTCCTTCACTTCCCCTTGAAAATCCCAGGCACTCTGCATAGTACATCTTTATCAGATGAGTCTGTTGGATATTAATCTGCATTTTGCAGGAAGAGCATTTTGCCCAGTGACTGGGAAGAAACACTAGTTTTTGGCCAAGCAGTTTTGGAGGCTAAAAAACAAATCCTTTTAACAGCTGTGTTTGGTGTGAAAGTTCACCACTTCTATGCTAAAAGCAAGTGTTGTGGTGTTCTAGTGTCTACATAGGAAGAACACTAGAGTTATTGGCCAGAGGGAATATTTCTTTTTAGCTCTTATGAAGTGACTTGGTCTGCCCATATTTGTTTGCCATTGTATCAAACAGTGACATTTTTAGTAATGCACATTTAAAAAAAAAAAAAATTAACTGCCGGATACAGGATTCAAACAGGGTAAGCTGTTGTTGTGCGGGTAAGAAGTTGTACAGAAACCATACAAAGCAGATTTCTCTGGCTGCCGGGTGCTGTTCCCACACACGATTTTTTTCCTGTTGCCATGAGTTGAACTCTGCATCTGACACACATCTACAGTTAACGACATGTATTCATTGGGTTTACTGACATTTAGAGGCTGGTCAGATGCTGCAACTTCTAAGTGTTAGTTACCTTGAGATGTATATATCTTTTAAAATATTAAACATAATTGCCTCTTGGCTATTTTTAAAGTCTAGCATTATGTGGGAGACATTTTTTTTAATGGTTTTTCAATTTCATACTTCAATAAAGTATACAATCTTATACTTTATTGTCATTGACAAGCTGATACCCATTTGTGGAGTTCCCAATTCATTTCCTGAAACTAATGTAGAACAGGGAGCTATTAAAGCATCCAGCTACTTTCTTCCACCAAGAAAGTCTATCACTTGGGCTTTGAAACCAGTGATAGCCCTTCAGTAAACATTTCTCATGAGTAGGTCCATAAAAGCAATTCCCCTAGTTTATTCTGATTATAATTCTGTCTACAGGTTCACGAGGTGGATATGGAAGAGGTGGGGGCTTCCAGGGTAGAAGTGGGGAACCCAAAAATGGTGATTGGGTTTGTCCTAACCCGTAAGTGTTACTTTAATTGAGCAGTGGTTTTTCATGTATCCTCATTGAGTTTCCTAAGCAACTGAGCGTGTGGAATCTTTTTATCTTTTCCAGCACCTGCAGTAACATGAACTTTGCTCGTAGGAATTCCTGTAATCAGTGTAATGAGCCCAGACCAGAAGATTTGCGA